ATAGCGGAGTGTGGTGGCTTTAATCCCAGCAAGACACAGGTGGATCACAGGTGAGCTCAAGGCCGACCTGAAATACAAAGAGAGTTCCAGGCCAGCCAGGGTTACATAGTGAGACCCTCTCTCAGAAATCAAAACAACTGGGTCTGGAGAGTGGCTTATCAGTTGAAGGTACTTACTGCTCTTGCAGAGGACCTGGGTTCAGTTCTCAGCAGCTCACAGCCACCTGGAACGATCCCAGGAGATCTGATGTCCTCTTCTGGCCTTCAGTGCTCCTGCACACGTATGGTGCACACAAAGTCAAGCAGACACACACAATACATAAAACAAACAAACAAACAAACAAACAAAAAACCAAACTTTAAAAACAACAACCACCAAAAGGGAGGGAAATGAGACTAGGAAAAGGATGTATTTGAGAGGGGAAAGAAGACAAGACAGGTTAATGGGGAAGAATCTGGGGAAAGTACATTATAAACACACATGAGAATGTCATAATGAAATATGCTGTTTTACACAACTAATATACACTAATGAAAGAGAGACAGGAAGAGAGGGAACAAAGAGAAGGAGAGGGCTGGGAAGGAAGGTATGGGCCAGGCTTCTTAAGCAAATACATACCTGCCTTTATTCAGTCGTCCAGAACTCTGTTACCTGGCCCCTTGCAGACAGCCACAGATACTAGGAAATGTAGCTGACATGCGCGTAGCATGACCTAGAACCTAGTCTCTTAAGCATTGTTTGCTAGCAAGCAAATCATCAAGAATCGGACTGAAGTGCCCAGCAACAAGTTACTGTTGTGAATAAAATAAGAATTGAATTAGACAATCACTAGATTTTGGTGATTCTCAACTCCCAAGGAGCCTGCTCTGGCCAGGAAACTTATAAGCAGAGCGAATTCTATTGAAGAAGGCATTGTACACACTATTTATTGTCAGCTGCCGGGACTAGAGGACAGCTGGGGACAGCAGCTCTCTGAGGGTACCTGTGTAGTTTGAATAGGCATGGTCTGAGGCAAACATTGTTTAATTTCTTTTTTTAATCATGCTGTCCATTTGCTGTGAAGGTTTGAGGGAAAATGTGTTATAAGATGATGCTTACGTTATTTAAAAAAAAAAATCAAACAAAGAAAACAAACAACAAGAAGAACAAAACCTACTTTTTAATTTTTTTGTTTTTCAAAACAGGGTTTCTCTGTGTAGCCTTGGCTATCCTGGACTCGATTTGTAGACCAGACTGGCCTCGAACTTACAGAGATCTCACAGACTGGCCTCTGCCTCCCAGAGTGCTGGGGTTACAGGCACGTGCCACTGCGCCCAGCTAATAAAACCCACTTTAAAACAAAACAAACAGAAGGCAAATGCAGTATTTGCTTGCAGCCCCTGGGCTCAGGGTCAGGTAGTGTTGCAAGGCTGGTGGAGATCCAAATACGCACCGACAGCTTCCAGCCTTGCCTCTTGACGGGAAAGGTAGCATGGTGGTTTGAGCAGGCTTCTGAGAGTGACACTACCTGACAGGGCAGTGAGTGTGAATGCCGAGTGAGAGAAGTAAGGCTCTTCAGGGCCTTCCCTTGCACACACTATTTTATGTGCTTTCAGTCATTCTGAGATTCTCTTGGGATACGAAATCCTGTAGGTCCCATCGGCTAGTGGCCATTAATGCAGATGCTCTGTTTTGAATAGGAAATAGTCCCTATAGGCTCGTATTTGCAACACGTGGCCCCCAGCTGGTGGTGATTTCAGGGACGATTCTGAAAGCTTTTGGAGGTGAAGCCTAGCCAGGAGAAGTAGGTCACTAAAGCCTGGCCCTGGAGGGTCATAATGTTCCTCCTGTTTCCTGCCTCGCTCTCTCCTTCCTGGCCCACCGTGATGGGAACAGCCTGCGTCACGTGTCCCTGCTCTGGTGAATTGACCTTCTCCATTCCGCCTTTCCCGTCACCATGGGAAGAAAAGCTTCTGAAGCCATGAGCCCAAATAAATCGATCTTCCTGCCCTTATTTTGTTACCATCAGCTACTACAGTCACAGCAATTCGAAAGCTAAAACTGCAGGGAGGTTGCCAAGCTGGGATTTGCAGCCTTCTGGCTTCAGAGTCCTGGCAACAGTTGCTGCCTTTGAGAGGCTTAAAGGTTTAATTGTGTTTATGCAGAGGGGCCCACGGGTGCAGTCGGTTAATTACTTCTCTTGACATCTCTGACATCAAACAATTTCTCTTTTACCTTTGCTCTGGGCTCCTATTTGCTGAGAAAACCTTTGTATCCCTGTGTGTGTGTGTGTGTGTGTGTGTGTGTGTGTGTATGTGTGTGGTATGTAGAGGCCAGAACAAGATGTTGGGTGTCTTCCTCTGTCACTTTCTACTTTATTGCCTCAAGACACCAAGACACCAAGACACCGTCTTTTGTTTTGTTTTGTTTTTGTTTTTGTTTTTTCCAGACAGGGTTTCTCTGTATTGCCTTGGAAGGCCTGGAACTCACAATGATACAACCACCTCTGCCTCCCAAATGCTGGGATTAAAGGCGTGTGCCACTAAGCCGGCAAGACACAGTCTTTCACTGAACTGGAAACTATTCTGGCTAGCTGACTGGCCAAGGAGCTCTCAGGATCCTCCTGCTGCTGGTCCCATCCTCAGGGTGGTGGTTACAGCTACACAGCCATACCAGGCTGTGTCTAAAAGCCTGAGCTTTCCGAATGGGAGTCCCTAGTCCCCAGCCTCTGCATTCTGAAGGTCAAGTTTGCTTGTTTCCACTTGGAACATTTGGCCAGGAAGAGCAGAGACTTCTAGAAAGCTTCCACTCACCGTCAAGGTGAGCCAGGGGAGTAGCTTCCTTTTCTTGAGTGACAGTTGCTTAATTCCAGCAATAAACTGGCTTCCAGGCAGAAAGGACCGCTTAAAGGTCTGTGTCAATTACATGGCGATTATGAAATTCATGATGTGACTAATCCAGTGGCTGAACCTATGATTATCTGGCATGATACAAGAATATTCCGTGTAATAGGTTCTTAGCTTCTCATTAAAGAGAAGGCAACGTGAGTCCGTGTGACCGAGGAAGGCTTTCTCCTTTTCTCCTTCCTTGCCCTCTTCATGGAAGAGAATGAGCTTTGAAATGATGGTTTCTCAGTTAAGCTCAGTGTCCTGGGAGCTTGTCTAAGGTCTGGTTTCATGGCTGGCTCAAAGCTTAGGAGCGCCCGTCTGTGGCTTTGTATAACATACCGAGGTGCCATGAAGACTTCCTCTGGTGATTTACATTTGTTTTCCCATCACGAGAGCCCAAGATTAGAGTGTGGGTCACCCTGACAGACCTCAGCTTTTCCAAAGCACTTTGCATTTGGGAGCATGCTATAATCTTTCTTCTTCAATTGTCGTGTGTTCACATCTCAGGGTGTGTTTCTGCTCCTGTGGAGGGTGGAGGACCCCTCAGAGGGGTTCTTATTTCTCAGGGTTCATCCTTTCTGTCTCCTACTGACCTGGAGCTAGATCAGGAGGCTAGGGTGGCTGAGGAGACAGGCCATCTCAGAACAGCTGCTACCTCCCAACCCTTTTTGTAGAAAAAGACCTATGGCCCCCTATGCATTGGTTGGGTATTTTTCTGTCCAGGTTTCCCTGAGCAAAGTTAAGGCGACTGATCCAAAAGTTACCATTGGATCAGTGGTTCAGAGCACCTGCTGCTTCTCTGGAGGACCCAAGTTTGGTTCCCAGCACTCACATCAGATAGCTTACAACTGCCTGTAATTCCAGCTCCAGGAGAACCAACACCCTCTTCTGGCCCCTGTGGATGCCCCTTCTGCAAACACACACAAATAAAATAAAACTTTAATAGCCAACAAAACAGCCTTGTACAATTATGGGGCAAAAAGAAGATCCCTTTTCAGAATGGGATCTGGATGACTTGGTCTGCCTGCTGAAGACACACACACACACACACACACACACACACACACACACACACAAAAAAAAAAACCAAAAAAACACAAGAAGAAGAGGAAACTAAAACAGTTGCTATGATGGTAGAGGAGTCACCAATGAACTGGCCTAGGACCTTTTGCTGTTCCTAAATAGAAATCATTAATAAGCAAGAAACAGCTCCTTAGTGTTAGCCATTCTGGGTCCTTGGAAACCAAGACTTATGGGTTGGGCTGACAAACTCAGAAGCTTATCGCTCCAAGCCTTGATGACTAGAGACTTGTGGCCTAGCCAGAAACATACAACTCTAGGAACTCAAGCGGAACTCTTGCCGCTTCTGGGTTCCAATTGCCAATGGCCTTGTACTTGGCAGTTAGGGAAATCGTTGGTTTTAGCCGGCGGTTAGAAACAGCTGCAGACAGCAGCAACTGGTGCCAGCTGGTGTTACAGTGTCTAAGCCTAAAGTGTCAGGACCTTTGATGTCTGCAGGAGCTAGAGCTGCAGCAAGCCCTGAGTGCTGGGACCTCAGCCTTCAGCGTTTGCCAGCTCGCGGGGGCTTGCAGCTCTTGGGGGCTATTCCAGCCGATGGAACTGCCCTCTGCTCTCTTCAGGTCTTAGCTCTTTGCCTTCTCCATTCTTCTTCCATCTCTTGTCACCTCTGTCCTCTTGCTCTCTGGAACTCCCCCACTGCTCTCTTTCCAGTGCTTCTGTGGCCCCACCATCTGTTTTTATTATCAGCTCGGGCCTGTCTGCCGGGTGCAGCAGCCCAGAGGCCGAGGTGGGTGGATCTCCATGAGCGGCACCCGCCTGGTCTATGTAGTGAGTTGCAGGCCAGTCAAGGCTGCGTAGTGAGACCCTGTCTCACAAAACCAAAAAATAAAATAAAGAGCAGGCAAAGAGACCAAGCAGGAAAGGGCTATTTTATACTGGAACTAGGGACTAATGTACTCTCTGGGAGCAATACAGGAGACCGTCACCTGGCTAACTCAAGAAGGTGATATGACCAGCCTGATTTTATCGCAAGGAGTGCTGGGTACGGCATGTAGGTAGAGGGTTGCGTTTGCATCAGTTAGCACACAGAAACAGTGCCACCAAACACTGGCTTCTTCATGATTTTATTTCTATTCATTCTTTTTTATTTCAATCACTGCACGCTTGCCGAGTGACTGGCCAGATGCTCCCATACCATCTGAAGTGAGCTTCAGGGTCATCTAAAGCTCACTGGAGTTTGTTTTATCTTGGGCGTGCAGTTTGTCTTGAGTCATTGTGACTGGAGCAAGGCCTCCTGGAGAAGTCCTGTCTTCTGCTGCCATAGACCTTGGTCCTCATAGCTGGAGTATACTCAAGAGTGGTCATGAAGTATCCAAAACAGCCAGGCTGCGGGAAGACAACCTGATCAGTTTCCGGGGTGCAGGCTGGCTCTGTTCCCCACTCTGAGCTACTAGACAGAAGAAAAAGACCTGCCATTCAAAGGCCAGAACGGCTTGCTCCCTGCTCGCCCATTCATAGAGCAGAACACAAAGGTACTTACAATAAACACACTTAAAGAGGGTCTGGAGGGTTGGCTCAATGGCCAAGAGCATTGGTTGCTCTTGCAGAGGACCAAGGTTTAATTCCCAGCATCCACAGGGCAGCTCCCAAGTAGAGGATCTGATATCCTTTCCTGGCTTCTGTGGGTACCAGGCATGCAAATGATGTACATACCTACATACATGCAAATCACCCATATACATAAGTTATAATAATAGTACTTTTAACAAATCTTAAAGACAGCTGGGTGCAGTGTCGTATGCCTTTAATCCCAGCACTTGGGAGGCAAAGGCAGGCAGATCTGAGTTCGAGGCCAACCTGGTCTACAAAGGGAGTTCCAGGCCATCCAAGGCTACTCAGGGAAACCTGGCTCAAAAAAACAAAACAAAAAGCCTTAAAGACAGCCCAACACAACACTACCACCCTTACAGACACTTAACTATGTTTATGAGAGCTTATCTGTTGCCCTAGAGCCTCACGTTGCAGCCCCGTCTGTTAGAATTTTTAGCACAAAGCACTAGAGATACCCCTTTCTGTGTCTGTTGGCTTTCTTGATTTCATGTTCTCCCTTCTTCATGTAACCTTGCATTGAACCCCACAGACCAAGGAAACCGGAGCTGTTTGTTGCTGTCTGTGATGGAGCGGATAAACTTTAGTCCTCAGAACCTGTAAGCACTACCTTATATTGCAAAAATCACACTTGGGAGAAGTGTGGAGGTAACCAGTTAAGCTCAATGGGACATAAGGTTTCTTTCCAGAGAGACAGGAGGAACAGAGGCAGGACGGGGAGACATGATCATGGGAATTAGAGGGTGGGGATGAAGGCAGGGAATACTGCCAGCCCTGAGAAGGTAGGCGGCAAGAAAGTGGGCCCTCCCCAAAACTTCTAGAAAGAATCGATCCTGGAGACCCTGAGCTACATCTCAGTGAAACTGATTTAGGAATTTCACCTCTGAAAGTGCAGTACAGCGCTGTATATGTGTACTGTTCTGAGTCACTAACTTTGTGGCTGTCTGGTACAGCAGCAACAGGAGACTAACGTGCTACTTGACTAAACCATAAGCCCACCATTTGTGTGCTTCCTTCTAAAAGACAGAAAATAAGAACACTGAACACTTGACAGTGATTCCTATTAACTTAGCATTGAGGGAACTTCCCAGATCTGCTTTAAAGAGGTCCTTACCTCTGGCCAGAAGGATCTAAGGTTAAAAAAAAAAAAAAAAAAGGAAATGACAGGAGAGTTGTTAGAAGTCTTTGCAGGGAGAAATAACTAGAAAATATGATTTAAAAACAGCTGTGGCTGTGCATAATGGTGCATGCCTTTAATCCCAGCACTCCAGAGGCAGAGGCAGAGGCAGAGGCAGGTGGATCTCTGTGAGTCTGAGGCCAGCCTGGTATACAAAGTGAGTCCAGAACAGTCAAGGCTATACAGAGAAACCCTGTCTCAAAAAACCAAACCACACATGGGGGCTGGAGAGATGGCTCAGAGGTTAAGAGCACTGAATGTTCTTCCAAAGGTCCTGAGTTCAATTCCCAGCAACCACATGGTGGCTCACAACTATCTATAATGTGATCTGGTGCCCTCTTCTTGCCTGCAGGCACAAATGCAGGCAGAATACTGTATAAATAATAAGTGAATAAATCTCTAAGAAAAAAGAAAAGGAACCCCCCCAGACACACACACACACCACAAAACCTAGAGCTTAATGAGGTTTTTTTTCTTCTTAGGATTTAATTTTAATTTTTTTGAGTCAGAGTCCCGCTGTGCAATGAACACAAACAGTCTCTTCGGAGGCAGGATTCATTGAGCAGTGTAATTAGGGGGAACAAAGGTTATTTAAACCTTTGGGAAGTGGGTAGAGGCTTTTGGGTGAGTGTACACCACTGGCCGGGCTAAGATGCTGGGAATGCCTTCTTTGCTTGAAGAGGAATTCCAGGTGCTTGCCGGATGAGACGGCAGAGGTGGGGGTTGTAAGGTTACCTGGCCAGGACACCCCGGCCCAGCACAGGGAGGGAATGGTCCTACTCCTGCCCTATTCCTGCTGGTGTCAAGATGAGATTTTCGGGGTTTGGACACACCTCCATCTCACTCCTGCTTCAGGCTGGCTCCCTCAGTTTCAGAGCTCCCCAGCCCCATAATATACTCTTATGCTGAGTATCTCTTGTTTTACTTAGATGTAATTTTCAGTGGTTTGTAGACTAACACACTAGCTAAGCACCCTACCCCTGAGCAACAACTCCAGTCCGTGTTTGTTTTCTTTTTTAAAAAATTTTATTTTATGTGTATGGGTGTTTGCTTGCATGTATGTAAGTGTACCATGTATGTCAGAAGAGGGAATTGAATTCCCAAGAGCTGAAGTTACAGACAGTTGTGAGCCACCAGGGAACCAACCCTGGGGCCTCTGCAAGAGCTGTCACTTTTGTTTTGTTTTTTTAATTTGAAAATATTTTTCTTTTTTTATTTTTATAAATTACACTTTATTCACTTTGTATCCCCCCCCATAAGCCCTTCCTTCCTCCCCTCCCTTGAAAATATTTTTAATTTTTATTTTATGTGTACGGATGTTTCATCTGAATTTCTGTCTGAACCACCTGCTTGCCCGGTGCCTGCAGAGGTCGGAAGAGGGTGCTGGATTCCTAGAACTGTAGTTACAGAGGGTTTCGTCCTACCCTGCGGGCTCTGGGAACCAAACAAATGTTAAGCCTTGCAAACCCTGGTCCCCCGCAACAGCAACAAACGCTCTTAACCGCTACGCGGTCGCTCCGGTCCCCTGGTTTTCCTTTCTGTTTTTAACACATGCCTGAAGGGATCTACTGAAGGAAGCCCTGTTGCTACAATGAGAAGGGTTATTCTGATAATCCCAGGATTGGTCGTTTCGGCAGCAGCACTGACGACGGGCTTCAGGGCCGTGACTTTCAACAGTGAAGGATTACAGCCTCCGAGTTCCCAGGATCCCCGGCAGCGCCTGCAGAATCGGCTAAGCTTGTGCACAGCACATTGTCGTGGAAGCCCCGCAGCTCACCAGCTGGCATCCACGTGCTGGGTTAGGCCACGAGAACTTCTCAACTACCGCGGTGGTTACAGGAAGGCAGCTCCCGCTGCCCGCGGCTGCCACTCCACGCTCTGCGCAGGCTGGGATACACGTAGCACCTGCTTACGGGCAACTTCCGGCACAGTGGGCTTCGGACGGGGTCAGGGTGGGTGCTGTACGGATCTGCATGTGGAGTGTGCCGTGAGATTGATTGGTGTGTTGACGCCCCGCTAAACACTTCCTGTGCTGTACGGCACTTAACTAGGCAGGGACTCTTTGTGCCCTCAAATTAAAAATGAAGACCTACAGGGCGTGGGGACTCACGCCTGTAATCCCAGCGCTCAGGAGGCAGAGGCAGGCGGGTCTCTGCGAGTTTGAGGCCAGCCTGGTCAACAAAATCCAGACCAACCACGGCTACACACGGAGAAACCATTTCTAAAAAAAAAAACCTAAAAAAGGGACTGGAAAGGTGGCTCAGCAGCTAAGAGCACTGGCTGCTCTTCCAGGGGTTCAGAGTTCAAGTCCCAGCACAAGGTGAGATCTGGTGCCCTCTTTTGCTTGTCCACAGAGGGCAGAAAAGTGCTAAGGATCAGGGCGTCTTGACTTTAACCCTGAGCCATTCTGCGTAGCCCTGTGGTAAGCACTTTTATCCACTGAACCATCATCCCCCAGGCCCCCATTATTCATTTTCGGTCCATCTGAAGGTCTAATTCCTAGAAGATTCTGTCAAAACTTTGGGACTTTGACACTTTTTTTTAATGAAAATTTTTTTTTCGTTCTGTTTTAGATTTATTTATTATTTATACTCTGCCTGCACGTACACCTGCACGCCAGAAGAGGGCATCAGATCTCACTATAGATGGCTGTGAGCCACCATGTGGTTGCTGGGAATTGAACTCAGGACCTCTGGAAGAGCAGCCAGTGCTCTTAACCTCTGAGCTATCTCTCCAGACCCTTTGCTTTTAACCAGAAAAAGAAATGAGATATTGTGAACATGGATGGCAAAGAGGGTTCGTCTGACCAGCCCTACGTTATATTACCTTTTGTGTACAATACAAGGTGACCTGCCCCAAGGAGAATGTGCACCCAATGGAAAAAGTCAACTGGGAAGTGTTACCTTTGAAGAGAATGGAAAGAGGATTACACTTCTCTATCCAGTCCAGTCTCTCTGGGATGCTCTATCTGAAGGGGGAAAAAATAAATAAAAAAAACTGTAAAGAGCAAATCCTAACTGTAGGCAAAACCTGAATGAATTTCCTCTCTTTCTTCATTTCTAAGCAGAGCCAGCCAGACAAGACAGGGCCTGTAGCATCACACAGCAGTCCAGCTGTGTTTTCAGCCTGACCGCCAAGGGCCAAGTGTAATTAACATACCAAGGTGTGGATTATTTCCCCTCCGCAGAGGCCAGCCATGCGGCGTCCTGCTGTGGTTGGGAATGGAGGACTCACAGCAGCGCCCTCCCCCTCCCCCCTCCCAAAGCACTTGGGAGGCATCGAGGACAAAAACTTCACCGTTCCCAAACTCCGACGTTCCGCAGCGGGTGGAACCTACTGGGTTCTCGCTGGAAGGAGCATCTGATTCAGCGTCCTCCCACCTCTTGTTTCTAAATTAGAATCCCAAACCCAGATCCACTGTAGTCATGCTTTAATTTCATTCGGAACTTGTGTCATCCTGTTGAGTTGGGGCCCAGAGGAAATTCCATCCTGGCCTGGTCTGGTTTCCTTTGAGCTAAGGCATTTTCTTGTTTGCATGCAGAACATTATGTTTTGAAGTGTAATTTGGAAATCACTGCTGGTGTTTACTAAGTATTAAATGAGATATGAACTTACTCATTCATCCATTCGTTTGTTCGTTCCTTCAGTTAGTTACAGTTTTGCTCTGCAGCCTGGCTTCAAACTCCTAGGCTCAAGTCATCCTCCTGCTTCAACTTCTTGGTAGCTGAGATGACAGGCGCACACCGCGAGGCCCAGTTTATGGCATGTTTCTGGTTTTGTTTTGAGGCTGGACCTTATCTAGATCCCAGGCTGGCCTCAGACTCCCTCGGCAGCAAATGGTGACCTTGAACTTCTGATCCTCCTGCCTCTCAGAAGTGTGAGAGTACAGGGGTGGGCCGCTCTGCTTGGCTTGTGTGCTCCTGGTGACTGAGCAGTCTACCAGTTAGGGAGTGTACCCAGCCTCGAGCTGGGAGGATGAGCAGACTTTTTAACTCTAACTCTTAGTTTTGTGTGCTAGTAAAACAACAACAACAAAACCATAGTGCTAGGGGTGGCAGGATGGTCCAGTAGCTTGTACTGCCAAGCTTGACAACCTGGGGTTGATCTCTAGGACCCGGTTTTAAAGTCTGCTCATTTGCCTAGTGGTTGGCAGTGGTGGTCCAGGTATTTCCATTTCATGGCAGCCATCTTTGCTGTGAGGGCTCTGTGCTGGGACTTGCAATGATCATGTTCTGAAAACACTCTGGGTTCTTAGGCCTTCAGGCCATGTTCTTTTCCTCCTGGGTCACAGGTCTGAGCTACCTCTACTTTTTGGTACCAGGTAATAGGTTTTCTCTGCCGGTGAAATGAGCCAGTTCAAGTCAGATTAAAGCATAAAGGCAGGTTTGTTGGGTGTAGCTCAGGCAGGTTCATTGGTCCCAAGGAATGAGGAGGCAGAGGAAGTCGCCATGGGGAGGTAGACAGAAGGGAAAGGGGAGAGAAAGAGAGAAAGAACAGAGAGGGGGACCAAAATTTCTGGCACATATAGGGAAGAGCTTTTCGGAAAGAGGAAGCCCAGCCCCTGGGCTGGAAAGTTGAGCATAGAGTGCAGGATTGAGGGATTCTGGGAGAATCTGGAGGCCAGGTCCACTTTGGTGTGTTAAATATGTACCTCAGCCACTTGTCTGGGGTCTGAAATCCAACACTGGGGATGGCTTGACACAGGCTAGGCTCTCACTTTTTCTCTGGGCTTCTTGTCTCTAGATCTGTGAGTTAACTACTTTCTGATCCAGTCACCTCTCTCTTCTCACTGGGTTTTCTTTTTCCTGGGTCTGTGACTACCTGGAACACAGTTTCTTCTTTTATTCCATGCTTACCCCATCCTACTGTTTAGGGGTAGCTGGGTGAGAAAAGCAGAGAACTCCCTTTCAGATACCCAAGGTCAGGCCAGGGAGCTGGCTCAGTGGGTTCAGTTATTTGTGGACAAATATGGTGATCTGAGATAGAGTCCCCAGGATTCACACGGTGGGAGGAGAGATCTAGACCCCTGTGAATTGCCCTCGGTCCACCGGCACTGTCTGTTCATGCCCCACCCACCCCGTAAAATAAATAAATAACATGTAATAAACTTCGAAAAAAAATTTCCACATTTTTTTCTACCAGTGGCCCTAACAAGAAATCCATTTCATGGACAGTCCCTGAAAAAAGTGCTTTCCTCACTAATAAACATTATTCTGAGGGATTTATACTTCATAACTCAACTCGTGGATTCCTCAGAAGCGCCCTAAGAGCTGTCATTGTCCCTGTTATTCAGATGAGGGAACCCAGGCACACAAAAGTTTCATAATCTGACAGAGTCCCTTGGCTAAAGAGGAACAGATTTCCTATTCAAAACCAGGACTGTCTAAGGGCAGTGGTCAGCCCCCAAGCCACAGAATACTAGGCAGTGCAAAGAGGGTGATGAAAGATGAGATTTGCAAGCTAGGTGCGGTGGCGCACGCCTGTGATCCCAGCACTCGGGAGGCAGAGGCAGGTGGGTCTCTGTGAGTTTGAGGCCAGCCTGGTCTACAGGGTGAGTTCCAGGACAGCCAAACCTACACAGAGAAACCAACCCTGTCTCAAAAAACCAAAAACCAACCAACCAACCAACAAACCAACCAAACAAACACACAAAGAAAAGACAAAAAGAAAAGGATGAGAATTGCAGATGGAAAATTAGGACTTGATCATTTCACATACTATGTAGCCTATGCTGATTTTGAACATGTCACAGTCTAGCTACTGGGGGATTGCAGATGTGTATGTCACCATTTTCAGCTGGCAAGGAGTCATTCATGGGGCTGGAGAGATGGCTCAGCAGTTAAGAACACTTGCTGCTCTTCCAGAGGTCCTGAGTTCAATTCCCAGCACCTACATGGTGGCTCACAGCCAACTGTGATGGAATCTGATTTCCTCTTCCGGTGTGCATGAAAACAGAGAGTTCATATACATAAATTAAATTAAAAAAATTTAAAAAAAAGGAAGTCATTCATTTTTTTTTTTTTTTTTTGAAAACAGGAAGTCTCAGATTGTAGCCCCTGGCTGACCCAGAATTCACTTTGTAGACCTGGTTGGCTTCAATTTCACAAAGGTCCAGCTGCTTCTGCCTCCCAAGTGCTGGGATTAAAGGTGTGTGCCACCATGCCCAGACCATTAAAAAATATTTTTAACTTTTTGTTGTTGTTATTTGAAGCAAGATTACTCTGTGTAGCCCTGGCTGTCTTGGAGCTTGCCATGTAAACAAGGCTGGCCATGAACTCTCAGAGATCGATCTGCTTCTGCCTCCCAAGTGCTGGGATTAAAGGTATTTACCACCATGCCCAGCTTATTTTTTAAAAATGTGTTTGTTTATGCTACATGTGTGCAGGTACCTGTGGAGGCCAGAGGAGGGCACCCTAGCTGGATTTAAGGTGGTAGTGACCTGCCTCATCTGGGCACTGAGAACCTAACTCTGGTCCAATGCAGGAACGGCAAGCACTCTAATTTTTTTTTTTTTTTTTGTAATTTTAATTTATGTGTATGAGTGTTTTGCATCATGTATGTACATGTACCTGGTGCCTGAGGAGGCCAGAAAAGGACAACAAAATTAGTCTTGTGAGCAGCCATGTGGGTGCTGGAAGAGCAGTTGAGCTCTTAAATCAGGGCGCCATCTCTCCAGTCCCCAAGCCTTAGGGCATGCAAACCGCAGCCACATTTTCTCTGTGGCTTGAGCTGCTGTATCACTTTTTGTTGTTGTTGTTGATTTGCTATTCTGCTATCCACAGTTTTTTAAAAACTTTTTTAAATTTATTTTTTGGGCAATGGCTTTATGACAGCTCTGGTTCTTAGAGAGAGCCATCCTACAGGTGCTCTATGAGCTCCTCCTCCCAGATCTTTATCACTTTACACAGGCTTGCACCTGAGTCTTTGGTATTCTCCCCTGGGGCTGCTAGAGTAGGACTTTTCCCCTCCAGCAGAGTCTGCAAGTGCCTGGGAGTTTTTGTTTTTGTTTTTTTTTTTCTTTTCTTTTTATGTTTTTTTTTTTTTTTTTTTTGAGACAGGGTTTCTCTGTGTAGAGTTGGCTGTCCTGGACTCGCTTGGTAGACCAGGCTGGCACAGAGATCCACCTGCTTCTTCCTTGAATAGTGCTAGGATTACAGGTGTACGCCACCTCGTCCAGCTGGGCGAGATTTTTATCCTAGGGTCTCCTGCTGGGGGCCTGGCTGGGTCCTTGTTTCTGCTTGTCCAGCGTCTACCTTTTTTTCTTTCCTTTTTCTTATCTTTTTTCTTTTCTCCCTGTCCCTCTCCTTTGTGTGTATGTGTGGATATGTTTCTGTGGCTTTGTGCAAATGAAGGTCAGAGGTCAGCATCGCTGAATACCTAAGCCTTTGAAGCAGGGTTTCTCACTGAACCTGGAGATCATTGATTCAGCTAAACTGTCTAGCCAGCAAGCACTTCCCTTTGCCCCTAACAGATGTGCACCACACCAGGGTGATATTATTATTGTTGTTATTGCATTTAATTATTGTATGGGCTAATTTTTTTTTTAATGTGATCTTGACACAGACGAGTCACTTGGGAATCAGAAACCTCAACAGAGAAAATGCCCTCACTAACTTGGGCCTGTGTGCATTTTCTTGAGTGGTGATTGATGTGGGAAGGGCCTAGCTTGCTGTGGGCAGGGTCACCCCTTGGCTGGTGGTTTGAGGTGCTATGAGAAAGCAGTTGAACAAGACATGAGGAACAAGCCAGTAAGCGTCACTGCTCCAGGGCTTCTGTTTCCTTCCTTCGGTTCCTGCCTCCAGGTTCCTGTCCTGAGTTACTGGTTTGACTTCCCTGGATGAGGGACTACGACATGTAAAATGAAATAAATCCTTTCCTCCCCAACTTGCTGCTGGTCATGGTGGGTTTTGTTTGTTTGTTTTTAATTTTTTTCAAGACAGGGTTTCTTTCTGTAGCCTTGGACTCACT